AATGAGTCTACCGCCGCCTGCGCCGCCAATTCCGTCTCCCCCTCGCACTCGTCGCCGCTGCCGAAAGAGGGAGGGAAGGGAGGGAAATCACCGTAGCCGCTCCGATCTGTCACGCCGCCGAGGAAAACCTACGCTCATACCAATTGTCACACCCCGCACGGGAATTGGGGTGGTTCGAACTTAGTAATCTCAGATCTCGTGCGAGAGGAAAGGGGAAAGTAGGAACAAGAACTAGTGCTTGTATTGATATAAGATGTATGTTTGTATCATAGAGATATTCTCAGCATAATTCCCTAGCGATAACAGAAGGCAGCGGCTAGCTTTATAGCTGCAGCTGGCAAATGGATGAGACAGAACAGTAATGGCAAATGAAACGGTACAGTGAACGGTAACGGTTGATGGAGTAGGCGAGACCTGTGAGCCGTACGATGCGCCGAACCGTTTTGCACCAGAGCCGTCCGATAACTGAAGATAATAAGCTGCTCCTTGACACTTGGGCCTCACAGGCGGCGAGGCAGGGGTCGCCGGTGACGATGAGGAAGGTCGGAGCATGGTTTCCCTGGCAGATCCATGGCATCCGCGGCTCCTGGGCAGAAAGAAGAATGGAGATGAGGGAGAGAAGAAGGAAGAAAGGAGGGGAGGTGCGGTGTCCTAGGCAGGAGCTCGCAGGAGCTGTGCGACGGAGGACGGGCGCCGGAGACGGAGGGATTCAGAGCCGGCCGGTCGGGCGACACCAACCAGGCCAGGGGTGGTGTACGAATCTACATCACCATCAGCTAATCCTTTCATCCCCACGATCTGGTCCTCAATCGCCATGTTCTTGAACTGCAGAAATCACTCATTCCCCATGTACTTGAGTTGCAGAAATCATTGGTTAACCAAGTTTTCTAATACATTACTGTCAAATTGCATGGGCCTATCAAATTTTGTAATATATAGATGATGTTATGCTGTCAAATTCCATCCATCTACATATTCCATGTGCAAAGTAAAGAAATTCAGATGTTGCAGGTTGCAAACAAGCAAAACCATGACCTGTCATCTGCAGAATTAACCTACATGTAAATAAGATTTCTTTTCCAACCATCTTTCAAAGATAAAATCTTACAACGAATGGATCAGTTTTAACTAATACAAGTACACACAACATTCAGCTCGACAGTTGGTCATCTCCCTCCCATTTTGTCTTTTCTGTTTCCAGTTCAATCAAGTCAGGACATCACATGTCTACAAGGCCATTTTTTCCTCACATTCATAGCAAGCTTGCAAGTTCCTTCTATTAACAACAGTACCTAGCACATACACAAGTTTGTTGGCCACCGGAGTTGCTGCACTCGTGGTCGTCGGAGTCTACCACCACGCTCATGCTCCACATGCATGTGGTCTTCCAGTCAGTGCGACGCCCATGTGGCTGTCCTGTAGCAGAGCCACCTTGACCAACCGTGGGAGCCAGAATCTTGGTGTGGGGCTGACGGCCATGCCGCCTGTGGTTATCTTGGTATCGCTGACTGTCAGGACGCCTATTTCTGCTTCCTTCTGGATGAACAAGGGAGATGGATGTGTCAGTAGAATTTGATCTGAATTGATTGATCGGCTTGTTTTGATGGCTTTTTGCGACATGTTTGTTATGTTTCAGAATCTTTTTGAAACCGAAATTTGAAAAGAGCATGAGTTTTGATAGGATTTTATATATTCTTCGGTTGCTTACTGTAATCTTTTTTAAACTGAAATTTGAAAAGAGCATGAGTTTTGATAGGATTTTATATATTCTTCGGTTGCTTACGGTAACCTGTACCTTCTGGTAGATTGATATAGATAGAATCATACTGATTTCCTATAATTTCCCCATCACAAAGATGTTCTATTTGTTTGGTTTGATTTATTGTGATGACCATCAGAAATCACTTATATATGCTATTCATACTGTTAAATTTAGTTCTAGCGACCCTGAGGAAGTAGTGTGTTGTACGCCTGACACATGATTGAGAATTAACTTGCTTGAAGATATGGTTCAGCTCAAACCTCTTTTCCAAATGTCAATGGGCTGTTGTTTTTGGAAATTTTGATCAACACTCCGAAAAAAATGTATGATGTGCCTTTTTTACTTTGGAGTATCAGTATGCAAACTCCAGAATTGGAGTATTAGCATGAAAACTCCATAATGTTTATGCGGTCCTGATACACACATCATGAAGTTGGTAACTGTTGTTGTATTTATATTCAGATTTGACAGGAATAAAAACTGAACCTATTAAATAGTTATGTTAAGCTAGATGGGTTTACTCATATTCCATCGCTAGACGAACTAGCCGCAAGCAGCACGGTTAAAATTCAGCTCCATTTGATTTACATTCAGATCATCTTGCTGCAACACCACTACTTTTCTTGATAGCAAACAACCAGTTTCAGTAATCATATATTGCTTTTCTGATTTGTTTATTCTATTATACCATAGATATCGTAAGAGATAGTTAATCACTTAATGAGAGTGTTTTGTTCAGTCAATTGAGTGCCTGCTGGTCTGATTAGTTTATGTATGTCACGGTTCCTTTTAATAGCTATAAGTTGCAATTCCCAGACAAGGCATATGTTCTATTGTTTCTCAGGTTTGTACATTCCAAGCCTGCCTTAGGACAACCCTTGTGATAGTAGGGTGGGTGCTTATTGAACCCACAATCCGTGAGCTGGATGTCAAAATTAGAGAAGGTATGCATGTTATTAAGCATGAAGGGGAGCCTTGGCGCAGTGGTAAAGCTGCTGCCTTGTGACCATGAGGTCATGGGTTCAAGTCCTGGAAACAGTCTCTTACAGAAATGTAGGGAAAGGCTGCGTACTATAGACCCAAAGTGGTCGGACCCTTCCCTGGACCCTGCGCAAGCGGGAGCTACATGCACCAGGTTGCCCTTTTTTTTATGCATGTTATTAAGCATGCTATCTATCGATGTGACCTTTTCAGATGTCGGTTGATATTTCATACTACAGGATGAGTACTAATATGATCTACACGCACAGCTGAAAATGATACACATGACAGGAAGAGAAAGTGTGAAGCACTCTACCCAATTTTCCGCATTTCAAGAAGCCATTACATTTATGATCTTTTCTATAGAAGAAGGAAGGATATATCAAATGAGCTGTATGTATTTTGCCTGGACCAGGGTTATGCAGACCGTAATCTGATTGTAAAGTGGAAAAGGTCAGTTGCCTCAACTTTATATCATTTAAGCTAGGGACCAAGATGGATGAGGTTGATTTGGCTTGATCATGCCAAAGAAATTTACCTCCTTTTTGGAAACTGAAAGCATGTTTCGGAAGTTCAGGGTTAAGTTTCCAAATCTGAGCTTTATAGCAAGTCAAAGAGGATCAAGAGAAGCAGAGTAGGATAATAAAGGTTCATATAGATGTAGTAATCTGTCACTACCAGCTAGCTCAAGTATGTATGACTGTACGATAATACAGGTTCACATATATGTAGTAATCTGTCACTATCACTTAGCTCTAATTGAAATTTTCTTGGAGCAGTTTCATTTGCAAATAGACCAGCTACACGGGCACACGCATACACACACACACACCCTAATTGAGATATCATATTACTTACATGATGTGGGTTATTCAGGTTATTATGATAAATTATTTGACTGATCATTGTAAGCTGTCAAATCCAGTGGGTAAACAGATGGCTAGGCTGCCTTTAGATCCAATGTACTCCAAGGCATTGATAGTGTCTACCGAATTCAAGTGCTTGGAAGGAATGTTGATTGATGTTAGTAGCTACAGTTATCTGCAATGTGCCGACGTACAGGAGCAATAAGAAGGATCTCATGACTTATCGGTTACCGAGCAGAACCACATATAGCCGTGCCTCCTTTGCTGCATCAAGGTCAGGAACCTCCAGATTCATTGCTTCTTGGTCTTTATTTTGTTGGTGCATAAATTGTAGTGCAGTGAATAACACGGAATGGATCAGAGTGGCTTGAGATTTTTTTAATGTAGGTGAATAACAGAATTTTTTCTTATCACATAGCATTCTGTTTTGCTATTTCAAATGTGCTTGCCAATGTGCTCTTTATCGAACAATCTTTTGGCCTTCGAAGTTTCGAACAACTGTTTGTCACAATTTTTTAGATCGGTTGTGGATTTTATTGACCCTCTCCCATAAACTCGGAATTGAGTAATTCTTTTTACTTTGGAAAGCTTAAGTCAATAAGCATCTTGAGAAAATATAAAAAAATTGGTAAAAAAATTCAGAGGATAAGTTGAAGAGAGAAGTTTCATTAATTGTACTCCCTCCGTCCGAAAATACTTGTCATCAAAATGGATAAAAAGAGATGTATCTAGAACTAAAATACATCTAGATACATCCCTTTTTATCCATTTTGATGACACGTATTTCCGGACAGAGGGAGTACATGTTTTGGAGCTTATATTTTTATCGAGAGCTAGGTTTGTTGGTACTCTTGTGCAATTAAGATCGTGCTGTTGGAACCATGTGTACATTTAATCAAGGCATTGGGGTCCACAGATCTTGTTACGACACGAAAATATTTGATGATTATCATTGCAGACACCCTCAATCTCAGGAACACTCTTACTATGTCTTTGATTCTGTTAAAGACCCATGTAGGTATGCCCAACCTGCCATTTGTTTATGCTGGCGACTTCAGCAAAGTGCTATGGCAAAAGCATGTTTCCAAAAGCTATTCCAAGATGGTATCTATCCTCTCTTTTTTCTTTTCCATTAATTTTTTTATTAAGCTGAAATGGTATGTTTCGAGTCTTATAACTAGAATTCGAATTTTGGCAGATCATATATGTTGAAGCATGTGAAAGTGGCAGTATCTTTGAGGGATTAATGCCACAAGATCTTAATATTTATGTTACAACAGCAGCAAATGCGGAAGAAAGTAGCTGGGGAGCATACTGCCCTAGGATGGAAACACCACCTCCTGAGTATATGACCTGCTTGCTGCTTGGATGACGCATACAATGTTTCTAGGATGGAAGACAGGTAAAAAGCATCAGCTGTAATATTTATGCTCTGTATGTTGTCTTGCTATTCTGAACCATTGGATCCTACTGTGCAGTGAAACTCACAATCTACAGAAGGAAACCATCAAGCAGCAGCACGAAGTGGTTAAAGCAAGAACGGCACCCCCAAATGACTCCAATATCGGTTCTCATGTCGAGGAGTATGGTGACAAGACATTCAAGGATGGCAAGCTTTTCCTTTATCAAGGTTTATATCCTGCGAAGTCAAGCATCACAAACAGGCCGCTGCTTTCGCCCAGCCTCAAGGGTGCAATCAATCAAAGAAATGTTGATATTCTTTTCATGTGGAAGAAGGTAAAATCCCCGTTATATATTTCTTGTGTAGCTCATCTTCTCTGTTACTACTAATTTTCATGTGTTTTGATTTGCCAAATTTGTCTGCTAACAATGTATCTTCTCGCTTTCAGTATGAGCAGTTAAATGTTGGATCAGAGGAGAAGCAGAGGGCTCTTAGGGAGGTCCAAGAAACTGTGTTACACAGGAAGCATCTCGACAGCAGTATCGATTTCATCGGGAAGCTTGTCTTTGGATTTGAGGGGCCTTCGGTGCTTGAGGCTACTAAAGGCCCTGGCCAGCCATTAGTAGACTATTGGGATTGTCTAAAGACGATGGTGAGTGTAACAATTCCTTGTTTACAATCCCATAAATATGCAACACCCTGCAGTACTCTTTATGTTTCCGGTTGAGCTTAAGTTTACTGTGTACTGATGCCAATCACTGCTGTTAGGTGCGAGTTTTCGAGTCCCAGTGCGGATCACTCACTCAGTATGGCACGAAACACATGAGGGCGTTCACAAACATCTGCAACAATGGCGTCTCCGAGACCGAGATGAAGGAGGCCAGCATCAGCGCTTGCGACAGCTACAACATCGGTAAGTGGAGCCCGCTGGTTCTAGGGCACAGCGCCTGGTCGGCTGCACTACAGTAGTACATGCATGGGAGCAGTACCAAATGCTCCAGAGGTTCGTAGCTAGACCTCATATATGGTGTGTGTGTACATATATACATTGTTTTAAACATGCAAGAAACAAGCCGACGATGCGCCCCATGTGGTGTCGGGTCAATCAGTAGTTTATGATCGTGCTCGTGATTTGACTGTAGTCAGTTGAAAGGCAATGATCGTTGTGCATGCTATGCATATGATTCGTATTTGTGGATTTTGACATCAATAGTTTATTCAGAAGAAATATTGTAATCTCGTACAAAAGAGTCGACTAAGTTTTCTTTAAAAAAAATTTGTCAAACGTGAAGGATCATACAGGCATATGCTTGACTAAATTGATATATTTATAAAAAAATTGAATTAGATGCACTAATTAGAAAATATGCATTTAAATTAAATCATCGCCTTTCGCCTCTACTTTGAGCTAGCTATTTTTTTTAAATGAGTTCAGCTACTAATTTTAAAGACCCCTAAAAAATCTACTAATTTTAAAGGGTTCGCTAAACCTCAGTCGACTGAGATCTAACGGAGTCTCAGGCACCTTTTCAAGCCGTTGGATACATGCACACTAAGATTATGTGCTAGGAAACTTTCCTTTTTTATTCTGATCTGGAACGGAAAGAGATGCGTGTGCGATTCTGGACTCTACAAAGTATGCGTGCTTTTTTAGAGAAAGAGCCTACAATCAACACGAGAAGCTTGTGTTTGGGCCAAGTCCAAGAAGTGCAAAACGAAATAAACATAATGTAATATTGCAAACCAAACAATCAACATTTTCTAAAAAGAAAACCAACATAGCAAAAACATGTTTGCTTTTGAATATTGACAAATAACTGTATATAAACAATCTCATTTCAATGCACGCTGATTGAAGCAACATCGAAGGGCACAAATGTGGGTTCATCAAGTTTTTCTAAACTGTGAACACCAAAAATCATATCATCATTGAGGATGGTGGCAAACATGAAAAGTGGCAACATGAATGAGACACCAAAATCATGCGATGATTTTCTCCTTCCGATGGGACACACGACACATTAAATTGCTGCATACAAAAGTTAGATGGAACCTTCTTTTGAAAAACGCAGTAAAAACACAGACTCACAAACACATGCATACACTAACCCCTAGAGAGACTGACCGGACGGGTTTTGAGATTGATGAACACACCACAAGCGTCTTGCTATCGACACGAACATCGCCATCCATAGAAATAATATTTCGCCTTCGTGAGACATGAAAGCGTCAAAGGTAGATTTTAATTCCTATTGGTATTGGGGTACCACCGCCCTCCAAACCATCCAATCCAACTAGAGGTTGGTTGTCATGGTTAAAGAGAAACTGACCAATATATCGGCATGCACCTCCCTACCCCCGCCATGCTATGATGATGGGCGTTTTGTTGGACACATCAATCTTCCCTCCTTTTGCAACGCACGTGCATATTTGAACTCTTCCAAATCAAACAAACAATTATCTCTAAAAATCCAACATAGTAAAAATCCGTTTGAATTTAAATCTTTTCAAAATCCTAAAAAAATTGAATTAGTTAATAAACTCTCAATTAGTATAGAACATTCTAACGTTTGTATGACCCACTAAAAATAAATACACCACTCTTCCACCCAGTGATAGTGCTAAGCCGAAAGAGGCGCCATCAAAGGACACCATTACGACTTCTTTAAGAGTAAGTACAATAGGATGATGTAGACGGGTTGTAAGGGTTTAAAAATTATTTTTTTGATGAGTTGAAGAAGGGAGAAGAGGAGAGAGAAGAGAAGCGGGCACTGATTAACAGTGGGCCGTAGCACGTGCTCCTTGACATTTCGTGAGAGAGAAAGGTGTGTCATGTATCACCAAAGTAGTAAATATTTATATGTAACAATTGTACTTGCTGGCTATAAGGTAGGATATAGATGATGTGACAAGATCATATAGCCAACGGCCGGCTATACTATTAACCATGCTCTAACTCTATACTCCATGGTCCGGACATCAGGAATCATTTTTTATTTACATGCACTGAGTGTGTGTTTTTTAAGACAATGAGAGTTTCTAATTGTTCCTGGTTTCAAAAATATATACATATTTTAAATATGTTCACACTTTTAGGAAATGCCGAAAATTACCAAAAAATTGTTCCAATTAAAAAATATTTATAATTGTTCACAAAATAAATAAATAAATTCCAAAAAATCATGTGTTCATAAAATGTTCGGCCTCAAAACATGTTCCAATTCTAATTAAAAAAGTTAAAAATGTTGAATTTCTTAAAAAATAAACAAATATTTGTGTTTTTTCAAAAAGTAAAACATATAACCGATTCACATACTATTTCATGCACCACTACTCTTTCACTAGACGAAGCAAGTTAGGCTGGTTCTTCATGTCCACACTTCATGCTCCAAACAACCTTACTACCAAAATTTATAGAATTGGTTATAAGAAATAAATGGCACAAGGTGGCACACGAAGTAGGTTTTGTAATTTTTTCGACCGTTGCAACGCACGGGCATTTGTACTAGTTTATTTCATAAAAAATCCTCATGAAGTTTAAGCTTATTTGGAGTTGTGCAGAATAGGTAGTCTGACGTAGTTTTTCAGGTCCAGATTTCCAGCTGCCGGAATTCTCCCTCTTTCTATGTACCTTACATATTATGAGAGAAAAGGCATTAGAATTACTCCAAAAAATATTATTATGCATAAAAACATTATAAATAATAGTAGGTAAACATGATACAAAATGGACGTATCAGTGCTCGACCCCATCGTGGATGGATTTCACCTCACTAGAGTCCTCATGGTCGGAGGCAGCAGCCTCAACCTGATTTATTCAGATACAGTGAGGAAAATGGGGATCGACATGTCAAGGATCAAATCCAGCAACACCACCTTAAAGGTGTAATTCCAGGCGCCGAGGCATGTTTCTCGGGATCCATGACGTTGGAGGTAGTCTTCGAGTCGCCAACAACATCCGCAGCGAAGACTTAATCTTCGACATTGTCCCTTCCGCATAAGTTACCACGCACTCCTCAGCCAGACATCGTTCGTCCTCTTTAACGCCGTCCAGCACTACACATATCTAAAACTTAAGATGCCAAGAGCGAAAAATGTTATTACCGTTAATGGTAACACCGAGCGCTCGCTCCAACCAAGAGAAACCCACAGCGGCTTTAGCTGCCGAAGAAGCGTCGTAGGCCCAGTCTACAAGCAAGGCAGTGGATGCACGCAAACGCGCCCGAGCTATGGCCTCGGTCCTGGAGCACTCCCGTGCTCACCCCTAAACAAGGATACGAGCCCCACAGCAAGACCCACCTAGCCGCGAAATACGTGCCTTGAGTGCACAACTTTGCGCTCAAGATTCCATGGGCAGCTCTAGGGAAAAACAACTCAAGGGCCGAGAGCTCGGTTCGACCAGGCCACGGCCGAAGATGTCCTCGGGAAACTACAAAACTACAGACACCATCTAGTGCCTGAACAGCGTTAAGATGATACACCACATCGACTTCTCAAAGCCCTCCCCAAGGAGTCGTCCGCCGAACATTACCATTTCCGCCGAGCATATAGTCGACAGCTACACTCACACGGAAGCCTTGTACAAAGTAGAGGTGCAGACGTGCGGCAGGGCACAGTAGGGACGTCAAACCACTCATGAAGGCCCTGTGTAAACCTTTCCTCTAATGTATTTATTTCTTAAAGTATCTGTAAAATTACTTCGGCAGCTCGGACCGTATAGATAGACGTCATGAATTTAAAGGAAATAATGACCATTTTTTCCGGTCATACTGCAGTTAATTATGTTGCACCTTCCTTTCTGCTTTACGGCCGAAGTAAACTATTATGATATGTTTCCCTTTTAGATGTGATCGGCTAATAAACCGGGGGCTAGAACTTAAATCCAACCCCAAACATGATTCTGGCACTAATTTTATTACATGTGCTCGGCTCACGGATATTGCATTATATGAATCAGTTTCGAATTATGTCTTTGATCAATGGTTATGTTGCCCGGCTTCTG